TTTCTTTCTTTCTTTCTTTCTTTCTTTCTTTCTTTCTTTCTTTCTTTCTTTCTTTCTTTCTCTCTCTCCCCCTCCATCCCTCCCTCCCTTCCTTCCTTCTTCCTTTCTTTTCTCTTTCTTTTTTTGCTTTTTTTCTTCAAGATAGGGTTTCTCTGTAGCCTTGGCTTTCATGGACTTGCTTTGTAGAGCAGGCTGACCTCAAAATCACAGAGATCCACTGGCATCTGCCTCCCAAGTGCTGGGATTAAAGGTGTGCTCCCTCAGGCAGACATTTTCTTAATTAGTGATTGATATGAGAGGGTCCAGCACACTGTGGGTGGGGCCACTGCTGAGCTGGTAGCCTTGGGTTTTATAAAAAAAAAAAAGGGGGGGGGAGATAGTAAGACCTGGAGGGGTCTGGAGCGCCACAACGAGAGCAACAGAACCAAAAAATCTGGGCGTAGGGGTCTTTTCTAAGATTGATACTCCAACCAAGGACCATTCATGGAGATAACCTAGACTCCCTGCACAGAGGTAGCCCAGGGCAGCTCAGTCTTCACATGGGCTTCCTAGTAAGGGGAACAGAGACTGTCTCTGACATAAACTCAGCAGCTGGCTCTTTGATCACCCTCCCTGAGGGGGGAGGAGAGCAGCATTACCAGGCCACAGAGGAAGACTATGAAAGACAGTCCCGATGAGACCTATTAGGCTAGGGTCAGATGGAAGGGGAGGAGGTCCTCTACTATCAGTGGACTGGGGAAGGGCCATGGGAGGAGAAAAAGAAAGAAAGCTAAGCAAACCAGTAAGCAGCACTCCTCCCTGACCTCTGCCTCAGCCCATGTCTCCAGGTTCCTGCGGTATTTGAGTTCCTGTCCTGACTTCCTTCAGTGAGGAACAGCGATGTGGAAATGCAAGCCAAACAAACCCTTTCCTTACAACGTTGCTTTGATCATGGTGTTTCATCGCAGCAAATAATAACCCTAACTAAGACATTGCACATCTGATCTTCTGTGCATCTATTCATCCCTTTTGGCTGTTCAATAATCTGTGGAGTCGTAATTCTCAGGTTACCATGTGGATGGATGGTAGAAGGTTGACAGTTGTGGCAGAAAGACTGGATTGGATCTGTTGAGACTCATTCATGCTCACTGTGCCCAAAGACTGAGCTCAGCCCTCCTCCCCCGCTTTTAGAAACCCTATGACTTACCGAGGCCACTTTTCTAACCCACCACTTCCCCTTAGCAGTACTTTATTACTTTATCTGTGCATCCTCTCTCTCTCTCTCTCTCTCTCTCTCTCTCTCTCTCTCTTTCTCTCTCTCTCTCTCTCTGTTGAGTTGAGGTCCCTCTGCCCAACCCACGCAGTTTTCCAGCAGTGTGCTGCCCGGTCTTCCAGAGAGGAAGCGGGTGTTCTTCCAGCAAACCCGAGGCTCTCTGGGGAAGCATATGTTTGATTTACTATTCCTGGTACTATAAGTTTAAATGTTTACGGATATTTAAAACAGGGATGAAAGCATCCCATTCATGATGCTAGAATCTGTGAGGCCGGTGCGGGGGGGCGGGGGGAAATTGGTTTTCTTGGCTGGAGAAAGGTGTGTTGTAGCATTATGAGCCTCTTGCTTTCAGCCCTGAGTTAGGCTCACGTGCTGCTGAATGGGTACAGAGCCCTGGGGTTTGTCAAATAGGGGCATAGACCTGGCCGGCACAGCAGGGTGGAGCAGGAGTCCACCTACCCTAGCCTGGTTTTACAAGGAGGCAACAGGCCAGGAGGCATCCAGCCGAGCCCACCGGACTAGGCGGGCGGTGACCACCGTGCCGCTGGCCGCCTAGCTCCAGACATTCCGCTCCTGCCGCTGGAATGCGCAGACAGGGTTTCTTGTTGGCCTTTGGCGGCTCCAGGGCCGGTGTGGCGTGGTCTTCCAGGGGGCGGGGCGGGGAGGGGCCCCGGGAGCGGGACCTTTAAATTGCCCACCAATGTGCGGGCCCCACACCTGCGTCTCACCCTGATAGCCCCGGCCACCTCGAGGCTCACGAATCCCGCAGGTCACGGAAGCCCATCATGTTGCTCCCAGCCCCCGCGCGCCACCTCCCGGGACTTTTGTTGCTGTTCTGGCCGCTACTGCTGCTGCTGCTGCTGCTGCTGCCGCCCCCGGCTGCTCCTGGAATATTGTCCCTAGCGAGCACACAGCGGCTGGGGACACGCGTCCCAGGGGGCAGCCCGGGGCATCTCCCTGCTCTGACGACTCCTACCCGCGCTCCTTATTCCGGGACCCCAGGGGGCAGCCCGGGGCATCTCCCTGCCCTGACGACTTCTACCCGCGCTCCTCATTCCGGGACCCACGGTGCAGGTACAGTGTGGTGGGTAGGGGACGGCTCTGCAGAAGAGAGAGCCATAGCCCGGGCTGGAGGAGGGAAGAAAGGTCGGGGACCCCACAACATTCACCGAATGAGTCATCCCAGCCTCTGGCAGGCTGGAAGACGCATCCTTCTCCCCACAATCCTGAGCAGAAACTGAGGGTCCCGCAGCGCTGGGATCGGGGTAGTGGTGAGGGTGTAAGGTCATGGGCAGGACCGTGATAGCATCTGGTATCCTGAGGTTCAGACTTTCTGATGTGGTTAGGATCGCCAGCCAGAGAATAAGATGGGGCCTCCCAGCTTTACCTGGCCGGGATCTCTTGATTAGGGAGAGCAAACCCTTTTAAAACACCCTGTTTGTAGTTATCTGGGAATCTCCATGTATTTTGCATTCACTGTGGGTATCATTCTCCGAAGGACGACAGGGTGTAGAGGGGACCTGGAGCTGGAAGAAGGTAATACATTTGTGGAGGTGGACAAAATGGGACTGGGAAGGAAAACCAAGCTGTCATCCAGGTGCCTAGGGAGGGTCCTGTGCAGTTAACTAGCTCTGCTTTATTTTACTCTCTTCTGCTTAAGTCAACTGGGCCCCACACTCCAACCCATGCTCTGTCCATCCCCAAAGGCAGGTCTAGGCTTTGGTGAACAAATCCATTTTGCCTTTTGGTCACTAATTTTGTTCTGAGCTGAGTAAATCTACAGAGCTCAGCGACCCCTCACAGCACAGACAGGGACCCCCAAGGCTTAGCAGAGTGAAAGGACCCAGAAAATCAGCATCAGATTCTACTGAGTAAAACTTGGAGCCCCAAAAGTCAAGCAACAGCTGGGCATAGCTCAGGCCTGTAATCTTAGCACTCGGGGAGATAGAAGCAGCTGATAGAAGCGAGACCTGGACACCCAAGGCTACAGAGAAACCTTGTCTGGAAAAACTGAAACCATAACAGAAAAAAAAAGTGCAAGGACTCCTTTCACTGTACAGCTTGCCAAACTCTCCCTACCACGTACAGGAGGAGATTATCTCTACCTTACCCAAAGATCCAGCTCTCGACCGTTTGGCCTTGACTTGAAAGAGGTGGCAAACAGATCATGTTCCAGGTGTCTAGGCTCATCAGGCCAGCGATGCTGTGGGCTGATTTGCATGGTCTGTCCCCTCCTGTGACTTGCTGGCAATGTCTAGAATCAGCGCAGGAAACTTTTCATCATCAATGATTTGAAATGTCAGATTTAGAACAGCAAGCGCATTGCCACCTAGATGGGGCCAAGCGGGGGCTCATGCAGGCTAAGTTGAGTCAGCTGGTTGCTTCAGGCTGGCATGGAGGGGAAAGTCATTTCTCTGGAAAGGAACTGTACTTCTGCTCTCTTCCCTGCGGCATAGGAATGGGAGGAGGAGGCTTGACTTTGTACAAGGTGACCATGGTCCTTTACCGCCAGGCCCCCAGACCTGATTCTGGGTGGCAATCCCTTGATAAAGCCCACACTCTATCCCCCCAAATCTCCCTAGCAACCAGGAACTGGTAAGCTTTACTTTGGCTTTACTGTTGATAAGACTGGCCGACTGGCAAAATTATGGATTCAGTCTCTATCTCTGTCAGTCTCTCTCTCCTTGCCTCTGTCTTGTGTAGTCCAGGCTGTCCTCACATTCACTATGTAGCCAAGGATGATCTTGAACTTCTGCTTGGGTTACAGGCTACAGGCGTGTACTGTTCCACCCAGTTTATGTGGTACTTGAAACTGAACCCAGGGCTAGGCAAATACTCGACCACCTGAGTTACATCCCCAGCCAGACTTCCTTTGTTTTGAGAATCAAACTGCTGACAGTGAAAGTGAGCTTAAAAAACAGTATGTACCCTTGCTGAGGGAGTGGGGATGAGAAAAAAGCGTCATGGTCATGGAATTGTTGCCACCCAAGCCAAGATTCCTCTATTACTTTTCTACTGCTCTCATAACAAATGACGATGGAACAGCCAGGCTTGTTGCCGCATGCCTGTAGTCCCAGCACTCGGGGAGACAGAGGCAGGTGGATCTCTGTGAGATCGAGGCCAGCCTAGTCTACAAAGTGAGTCCAGGACAGCCAAGGCTACAGAGAAACACTGTCTTGAAAAACCAAGACCAAACCAAACCAAACCAAACCAAACCCAAACAAACAAAAAACCAAAAAGGCCAAAACAAACAACAACAAAAACCAGATGATGATGGACTTTAGTGGCTTAAATTGGTACAAAGTGTTGTATTATAGTTCTGTAGGTTGGAGGCTGATTCTGATACTGTTCTCTGTGGGCCAAAGTCAGGGTGTTAGCAGGGCTTGCACCCCTGTCCTTTTGGGGGTGAGGTACCAGAGAGAAGCACTTGACAGCCTTTCAAGCTTCTTGGAGGCTACTGTAGTCCTTGGTTCTGCCTTGTCTTCCCTCTTCAAAAGGAGGAAAGGCAGCTTGAGTCCATCTCACAGCTGGATCACTCGGACCCCTCCTCAGCTGGCACCTTCCACTTTTAGGAAACTTTGAATCCATCTGGAAAATCTAGACTAACTTCCGCATCAACAGCTCTCTGACCACAGCTGCAGTGGCTTACCTTGCTTTGCAGAATTTGTGAAAGTCCCTGGAGTAAGGGCTGGAAGGTATTGTGGGGGAGCTATTCTATCCATCACAGCTCAGAGCTTCCTCCCCAAACAGAGGATCCATCTGGGAAGAACCAAATGGAGAAGGATAAATCTGGCATGTTTGGTTACAAGAGCACACTGGTTTATAGGGCCATCGCTTCCCCAAGTGTAAGTGTTGAGTTTACAAGACTTGTACCATGGTGCTTTTCCCTTCCTCTCCAACCATGCAAAATTATACAGCCCCATGTCCAGGTAAGATTTTCTACATGAGTCCTTTTCCTTGCTCTTGATCCCTGGAAATCTTGAAGGAAATTATGGAGGTGTTTTTTTTTTTTTTTTGAAAGTGATTTGTAATTCCTCTTGACTTACCCAAATATATGACATATGGCATTTTTTTGGGTGGAGGCTCAAAGTTAACATGTACATTTTGGCTTAGGCACATGAGATGATGTTGACTTTTGTGGTGGAAAACTTTGCCTCAGTGGGAGCAGCTGCCGTATACTGGACCGGCCTTCGGGTTAGGAGACAGGAGTCCAGGAGGCCAGGCTTACATCACTGCTTTTCAGGGCTTGTTCCTCCTAAACCTCTACCAAATGAATATAGCACAACCTCTGCTCTGCCTCGTCCACAGGATCCTGTGTTAGCATGCTGGGATACCCTACAGAGCCTTTCAAAGCAAGGTGTTGCTTTATTGATGGAGTACATCCAGCTAATAAAACCAAGAGGTTAAAATTCTGATTTTTTAAAATGGAGCTGAAAGGCTGTGTGTGAAGGCACATGCCTGCAACCCTGCACCTGGGAAGTGGAGGCAGGGCACAGTCAGCTCTCAAGGTCATCCTTGGATATGTAGTGAGTTAGAGGCTAACCTGGGCTACAGCAGATCCCATTGCAAAGAAATAATAAATAAGCAGATAGATAGATAGATAGATAGATAGATAGATAGATAGATAGACAGATGATGAATAGATAAATAGATAACAGAAGGGCAAGGGATGTAGCTCAGTGGTAGAATACTTGCCTAGCACACAAAGTTCTGGGCTTGATCCCCAGCCCTCAAAATGAAACAATGACAAGTAAAATTCAACTGTGAAACAATGACAAGTAAAACTCAACCGGTGACAGAGGCAAAAATCTCAGAAATGACTTAGGCTAAATACTTCGTTTTCAAAAAATTGTATCACTTGCTTTTCGGAGAGTACCTCACTCTATATCTTGAGCCTGCTTTCCTCCTCCTTATTCTCCTAAGTGCTCTAAATACAGCTGGCACCACCACTCACAGCGAAGAATTTGTTTTGGGGCTACCTACTGATTGGGCAAATAGTATCAATCTGTCCTTTTATTAGAAAAGGAGGAGCCCTGACAGACACCTCCCAATGACCTCTAGGGCGAGTGTGTGTGTGTGTGTGTGTGTGTGTGTGTGTGTGTACGTGTATGCTTGTGTGTGTTGGATTAGAGTGGAGAATGGCTTGAAAAAGAGATGTGATAGCTGGATTCTCTCCCATCTAGTACTAACAGAGGACTGATCCGGGGGGTTGAGAGAGGGCTGTGCAAATCAGGTTGGAAGGAGCAATAAAGACTAAAAATGAGTAAATGGCCAGAAGCATGTGTTGAGTTACTGGAGGGCACAAGGTGCCTTTGTGTGGAAAGAGTGTAATAGCTGTGAAGCTGGGGAAACTTCTTTTCTGCAGTATGGCAGATGTGTAGGCAAGTGACAAGTGAAAAAAATGCAAAGAGAAGTGGCCAAAAGAATGCAGGGAAGTGGAAAGGTCATGATCTCTGCTCCTTAAAACAAGATGTGCTCCCAAAGATTGATGTGTAGTTCATGTGTGCTAGCTGAAGTTGTTATCTCATTGTCTCAGCCAAGTGCCAAGGAAAGCCTGGGATCCCTTCAGTAGCAAGAGTTACAAGGACTCCTGGGAACAGAACTTTAAATTGTGGGATAAGTCTCCAAGCCAAATGCTGGGAAGACTCATACTTCCATGTGAATTCTCTCTACGGGATTCTGAAGGCCTGGGTGTTTTTACCACTCAGAGGGAGGATGGCCTCCAGGAAGGAAGCAGGAGATGGTACTACTGGGATTAGGGGATTCTACTAGGCCTGGCTTCCCAGAATCCCAGAGTTCTCTGAGAGTGAAGACTTGCCCATTTCTGGTCATAGACTGACCACTACTTAGCTTTCTTTGTGTTCCCCATACCCATTTTTGCAGGTGTTTGCATAAGCAGGCCTTTGGACTTGGTGTTTATCATTGATAGTTCTCGTAGCGTTCGGCCTCTGGAATTCACCAAGGTGAAGACCTTTGTCTCTCACATCATTGACACTCTGGACATCGGAACAGCTCAAACGAGGGTGGCTGTGGTGAACTATGCCAGCACCGTGAAGATAGAGTTCCAGCTCAACACCTATTCAGACAAGCAGGCCCTGAAAGAGGCTGTGGCACAGATCATACCCTTGTCAACAGGCACTATGACAGGGCTGGCTATCCAGACAGCGATGGAGAAAACCTTCACTGTGGAGGCAGGAGCTCGGGGGCCCATGTCTAATATCCCCAAGGTAGCTATCATTGTGACAGATGGGAGGCCCCAGGACCAGGTGAATGAGGTGGCTGCCCAAGCCCAGGCTTCTGGCATTGAGCTATATGCCGTGGGTGTGGACCGGGCAGATAATGAATCCCTCAAGATGATGGCTAGCAAGCCCCTGGAAGAGCATGTCTTCTATGTGGAGACCTATGGGGTCATTGAGAAGCTCTCTGCTAGATTCCAGGAAACTTTTTGTGGTAAGTCAGCAAGTCTTAGCTTTCAACTAGCAAGGATGTTATAGAGAAGACACTGGGTGCCTGGAAACTTTTTTTTTCAAATATTTTATTTCTAATTATGGGTGTGCGCACATGAGTGTGGGTATTAGATGAGGCTAGAAACCTCAAACCCCCGGAGCTGGAGGTGTAGGCAGTTGTGAGCCACTGGGAACCAAACTTGGTCCTTCTGCAAGGTAAGTGCATGCTCTTAACTGCTGAGCCAATGTTCCAGCCCCATGGAAAAGTCAGTTTATTCATTTGGGGTGTGCGTGTGTGTGTGTGCGTGGAAATTATATGGAAGAATTAAACACATGCAATGCTTTTTTTGGTGCCTTGAAAAAAAAAAAACCTAAACACACGGCGTTGGTTTAGAAGTACAAGGCTGCACTATATGCAACTTGGTTTTCTCATAAAACCTTCATGTTTGCATTAGACATGTTAAGTTCTGGAAATAACCAGAATAAACAATCCTGCCGCTCCCTGATGGGGTCAGAAATAAAGCCGAAACTCAAGATGTCTCTCCTGTCCCCTCTTCCCCACCGTCAACATTCCTCCCCTCCCCTCCCCTCCAAATATTTTCTTTAGCTTTACATCTTCAGATTTAACAGCCCCTCGCTTGTTCTCCCACAGAAGCTGGAGTGGCATCTGCCCCCGGAGAGTCAGTGGGCTGTAGCCCAATGTCCTCGTCCATGTGCGTCTAATGACTTGCTTTCAGAGTCAACTCTTTCTCTGCTTATTCTTTTGTGGAATAATCGGATTAGAGACCAGAAGGTTTGGGTTTTCTGATTCACTTAGGAGACACAAGAAACAGATTTAAAAACAAATTCTGTTAATCTTCTATTCTTCCTTTCAGATGGGGTTTGAATATGAACATGCTAATTTTATTATAGTTTTTTTTTTTAGCATGAATTAATCAGATGCAATAATATGAATCTATTCAGGGCTGGATTTTTTTTCCTCCTAAGGCTGTAACCTGGGTGTGGTATTAATATGCCTGTGACCCTAGCTCTTGAGTGGTGGATTTCAAGGCCAGCCTCAGCTACAATCCTGAATTTGAGACCAGCCTGGGCTACATGAGAGCCTGACATAAAAAAGAAAAAAGAAAGCTATAAAAACTTTACAAATGGGCTCAGCGGTTGAGAGCAGTGACTGTTTTTCCAGAGGAGCCAGGCTCAATTCCCTGCACACGCATGGAGTCTCACAACTGTCTGTAACTCTAGTTCCAGAGGACCTGACACCTTCACACAGACATACATGCAGACAAAACACCAATGTACATAAAATCAAAAATAAAACTGAAAAATTAGAATTATGGTTTGTGAGAGTCAGATTTTGAAAAATTATTTGAAGACCTTCATTTGAATGCCTCTATAGAATTGTTGAAGCAAGGTGCATTCCTAAACATAGACACTTTCTGCCACGTGTATTCTGTATCTGTTCATATTGACCACCACATACAAAGTTAGAGGGAGCTCCTCCAGCCTTCTGATATCATTATGAGCTGGTGGAGAGACAAGTACATGAGCCAGTAACCACAGTTGTAAATATCAAGAAGACTTTCTATCTAAACGAATGTGGAACCCAGAATCATCAACTGGTTGGGAAATGCGAGATGAAGTCTTGGCCTCATCTCAGCCAGACCTGGCTGGGATCCCCCCGTCTTCTGTGTCCTGGGACACTAGGCCTTCACAAAACAGCATTGGCTATGATGGCATCTACTTGGCATTTATTAGGCTCTAGAAAGAAAGTGGCTTTCTTTCTTTTTCCCAGAAACCCCCCTCAAGTTGTGGGTGAGAGCTGTTCTGACAGGACTCTGGTCTGTGGCTACTTTGGGTCTTAAAGTTAGCACTAGGGGTGGGCTCAAAGGCTGTAAAGTAATAGTGGTGAGTGGCAATCTTTTCCCTCTCTTACAAAAGACCTGCTTGTTCTGGGGGTGTAGGGTGGGGGAGGTGTCCTCTCTGGAAAAAAAACGACTGAGGGGCAGCTTGTTGTAGTCAGCGGGCTGGAAAGATCACTCCATGAAAAGGCACTCCTTGGGAAAATATTAGCCTTGTCTTATTGCCAAGGGCACTGGAGGCTGGGTTACCTGCCACAGGAGTGCTAGCCTCCTTTAACAGACCTTGGTTTTGTAGAAATGACTAAATTCATTGATTCATCTTTTGAAACACGTCACTGGGGGTGTATTGGGGGGGCATTCCATTGAGATACCAATGTTTCCAGGAGCAAAAGGATAGAGGTGTGATTTGGCTGACATCACCTCATGCTTTTCTTTTTATCTCTTTGTATATACAATGCAAATCCATCGAAGCTTCTGAGAACCCAAGGAGATATCTGGATTTTAGACTCATCTGGGCATAGCAGAAGGAGGCTGCTGGGTAGATGGCCTTGTACTGTTTGCATGCTCAAGCACATCGTCTCTCTGCCCAAGAACGAATCAGTTCCAGGTGGATAGGCATGCTTGTGTTCCAGTTCACTTTAGGCACACAATATGGAACTGTTGCAAACCAGGATCCAGCTATACCGGGGCCCTCTAGCCCCTAGAACTCTCGACAGCATGTTATTATTTTCCTTGACTCTTGTGGTCGAGAGGCAGGAATCTGTTTTCTGGGCACACAATTCAAGCAAATAAAACATCATGTTACCTGATCTGTGGAAATGCCTGATTCTAGCAGCTCCAAATTCAGGACTTCCTTTCTCTTTTGGGAGATGATGCAGCAAGATCTATAAGTCAAATAAACATCTCAAGTCAAATACCTAATAAACCAGACGCTTTTTATTTTATTAATAACAAAGTCAGAAAGGAATATAGAGGGCAGTGTCTTTAGACCAGGAGGAAGAGTCTAAAATGGTTCCTAGGTGTTGAGGTCACCACTGTACTTTTCTTTGCCTAGCTGTGGACCCGTGCCTGCTTGACACACACCAGTGCCAGCACGTGTGCATCAGCGATGGTGATGGCAGGCACCACTGTGAGTGTAGCCAAGGGTACACCTTGAATGCCGACGGGAAAACCTGTTCAGGTGAGGCTTCCTCGGAGCACTGCGGCTGGGTGGGACTTATTTGATGCCTCTTCTCCAGGGGGTACGGTTTTCCCTTAGGTTTTGATTTCATCCTTTTGTCTCTCAAATGCCTTCTGGCTGGTTTAGTGAAAAGTGAGAACCTACTCAGGACAGCCAAGCACAGGCCTTTCTTCCTTTCTTCCTTTATTTTTTTATTTTATTTTATTATTTTTAGTGTCGGGTGGTAGTGGTATATGCCTTTAATCTCAGCACTAGTGAGGCAGAAATAGGGGAAATTTCTGTGAGTTCAAGGTCAGCCTTGTCTACAGAGTGAGTTCCAGGACAGCCAGGGCATGTGAGTACAGGATCTGAGGAGCCTAGAGTTGCCTGAGATCCCCATGAAGCTGTGGTGGTGGTCAGCCACTGTGAGTGCTGCTAGGAACCAAACCCCGAGGCTCTGTAAAAGCAGTGTGCCCCCACAAACACCAACTGTCTGTTTGACTCCTTCTTTTCCTAAAAGTTAACATTTTAGGTTATTGTGCAAATAGGTTTTGTCATGGCACCTTCATATGTCCGCGTGGTTATACTTCGTTCTCATTATTTTCCTTCCCTGATTACCTTCCTCTGTGCTCGACTGCCCCTAGCTGGTTCCCCTCCTTCCTCTTTCCTCCTTCCTTTAACATGCCCTGTTTTTCCGTATGGCATGCATTGCTTTATCCTCTTTCTATTTCTCACCTTCCTTATGGTCTCTTTATTTTCTCTCTTGAACCCCTTTCTAGTTCTGTGATGTACAAACAAACACACACACATATACAAATACACATCCAATTTTACATCTAGATTTCCTCATATAAGAGAAAGTATGCAGTATCTTTCTGAGTCTTATTTTTTTCCTCCTCAGTTCACACGGTAATTTCCAGTTGTATCCATTTTTCTGCAAGAACCATAATTTCAGTTTCCCTCATATCTGCATATAAATCTGTTATGCATCTGTACCGTGTTTTCTTTATCCATTCGTCTGCTGATGGACACTTAGGCTGGTTCTGTTTCCTGGCTTCTGTGAATAGTGTACATGTGAACATGTATGCGTAAGCACCTCTGTTGACCTAAGGTCCGTACTATACTTGTGCTTTCTATATTACTGTTCTTAAAGAAAAGACATTAATAAAAGGAGAGGTGAGAAAGAAGGAATACAAAACTCTTTAAATTTTTCTTTAGTTTATGTATGCTACCTTATAAATTTATATAAGTGTTACACACACACACACACACACACACACACACACACACACACACACACACACACACACAC